ACCACTACAAATTTACTTCTACTTCCTGTTATAGGGCATCGTTCAAGTAACGATGAATAGTGCTTCTCGCTTTCTTATGCGATACCGCTCTCAACAGAATGTGTTAGGAGTGGTATAGGCACTGCTAGGTTATACTTCCAGCACAGCAGCAATGGACTTCAGTGATGACAAGAGGGCCATAAATATGCTATTTCCCCATCAGAAACGAGTAAAATTTTCATTTGTTCCGCATTCAACTATGAATTCAAATATGGCATTATAACTGCTATGCATAATGGGACTTCACTTTCTGAAAAGTTTGTTTCGGCATTTTCAGCGTGCCTGCTATGAATATGTCACACAGTGAACGGATCAATGTGAAAAAAATGCAATTGTTTGTTCCACGAACTCACATGCAAGAACGAAGGAGGTCACAGTAGAGATGAAACCAGAAAGGAATGAGTTGAATGGGAACGTTCCGACCATAAGACAGTAGAGAAACTGAAACCATTATTTCATTGTCGATATTAACCAAAAACCCTAACATGTATTCGTTACAAGGGAATAACTAAGGTAATATCACGCGCTGCTTATTTTCAGTTTCAGTTTGTCAGTTTGAAACTCTCGCGACCACATCAGCTCAATGATGATGTCAAGCTGGGTCATCTTCTACGGTAGAGACTTTGTGAACAATACCTAGGGGAAAAAATGATTCTACCAACACCTCGAAGGCACACCCTGCGAATACTGATGGTGGGAAGTGGGACTCAATTAATTTGACAGTGAAAAACAAAACTTGAAAATCCGTCAGAAGTGCCCTGGACAGAACTCCCTCCTTACCATGAGTGGAGCTTGCACAATCATATGGCGAAAATGGAGCTTGTTTAACCAGTTGTCTTGTTGGCCATACGTGCCTCACCATAAAGATTTATGCTCCTACCACGTCACCCTGAACCTTAATTGGAAAGAGCCGTTAGTAGTACAACCACACCATAAGTGAGCCCTTAGAGATGAACCATGGACGAACGTGTTTCACTTCTATGGGCCCTATAAGTTGTTAGGAGGCCATAGCTTTTTTAAGGACGCTGGTCATAGCTTTAGTCGGAGGCGGAGTACTGGTTCGCCACGAGCGCCTATCCTATCGTCCTTAGCACCCCTTTTCGAGCACCGAAGACGGCGCCTCTGCTTGCAGATCGGAATACCTCGCCCATAAGACGACGTTTGTACACCAGGTGAACGCGGAACGTGCTTTTATTGCAATTAACCCAATGAAATGTTTTCTAACTTTACAGATTTCTGTAGTTCCAATGAAGGATAGCATGTCAGTCCGGATGGGCTTGGCGCGGTCACCCCATCCCGTTCTCCCGGTGTAGAAGCGGGTGCGCGACAAAGATAAAAAACGACCGATAGGAACAATATGATGCAGCCTCGTCTCTTGCTGGCTCCAACCATTGGTGTAAGGGGGTCTGGCGCCGCGCCACCCCCCTCCCCCGCCTACTATGCCCCTTCGTTCGTAGGTGAAACTGTCGTATCAACAATATTCGCGCTCAGGAAATTCAGCGACAAGGAGCAGCACGTGTACCTTGGTATGAAATGAGGTTAAAGAAATAGCATAAATGGGGTGCACACAGATATTTGCTCCGACTTCTCACACCCACCAATACCTGCCGTGATCTGCTGGCCAGCAGTTAAATCGCGTTCATATCTAGCGAGAAGAGCTGACGAACTGAGGAAACCGCGAAGAAGAAAGCATATGCATTGATCCTAC